CGTATGTGTATGTATGTGTGCATGTGTTTATGTATATGAGTGTGTTTGTGTCTGTGTATATACATATATGATGCGTTTTGGGGGTTTTAAGTCTGTTCTGCTGGGTAGGTGTATTTTTAGTGGTGATGAACACTCGTTGAACTATTAGGTGTATTGTGTCAAAATTTCATGTCAGTTCGTCCAGTGGTTTTTGAGTTATGTCAATCCTACAAACGAACATTACATGTTTATATGGATATGTGTGCATTGGTATACAGCTCCCCTTAACTCTATGTTGTTTGAGGTTGTGGGTGGGACTGCAAACCATGTGATCAGATCTGGGCCTATTCAGACGGAGACTCCATTTTAGTAGTCAGTGTTCTGTTAAGTCTGTGCGGTCAGTTGCATTGTGCATTGTACAGTCAGTTGTGTTTAGGTTATGTTCAGTTTTGCATTTAGAACACATTAGACGTAAGACAGAGAAGAGACTGTAACAGAATGCCTTACTGGTTTACCTTTCCACTGATAAGCAATATCAGTGATTGTAAATTATTTTTTTCATTGTATTTTTATATTGTTTACTGTTTTATGTATTTTATTGTGTTGTTGTTTTGTGCTTTGGTTTTTATTTTATTGTAATGCGCTGTTGGGCTTGGCCTCATGTGAGTTGCTCCGAGTCCCCGTTGGGGAAATAGTGGTGGCGTATAAATAAAGATTATTATTATTATTATTATTATTATTATTATTATTATTATTATTACTATTAGCCTCCCCCTGCCCACATGGGGGTTCTGTGTGCGAGGTTTGGCCCAATTTTATCGCTGGTGGGATTTAGAATGCCCTGTGATTGTAGGTGAACTATACATCCCAGCAACTACAACTCACAAATGTCAAGATACTATTTCCCCCAATCTCCACCAGTGTTCACATTTAGGCATATTGAGTATCCGTGCCAAGTTTGGTCCAGATCCATCCTTGTTTGAATCCACAGTGATCTCTGGATGTAGGTGAACTACAACTCCAAAACCAAAGGACACTACCCATCAAACCCTTCCAGTATTTTCTGTTGGTCATGGGAGAACTGTGTGCCAAGTTTGGTTCAATTCCATCGTTGGTGGGGTTCAGAATGCTCTGTGATTGTAGGTGAACTATAAGTCCCAGCAACTACAACTCCCAAATGACCAAATCGTTGTTTTTTTTAGTGAAGGACATACATTGGGTTGTTAGGTGTCTTGTGTCCAAATCTGGTGACAATTCGTCCAGGGGATAGGCTAGTGTACACATATAAACACACAAATACACAAATATACACACACACACATATATATGCAAACACACATATACACACACACAAAACACATATACACAGACTGGTCCTCAGCAACGCATGGCAGGGGACGGCTAGTAACAATAATATTAATGCACAAAATACGAATGCATTTTGGGCACATATAAGACAACAAGAAATCCCAATTTTGCATTTGCAACGTTTGAGATAGAATCGCTCTTTTGAAGGGAGAAAAAAAGAGAAGGAATGCCAAGATATCATTTGCATTGGCTTCAATAAATGCGTTGGCAAGCGAGCCTGAAATGTGATTTATGGTATAAGTGACCATTGCTGTTTAAGATTCAATTACGGCCTTCGTTTCGGAGTTTTGTGCATTTCGCTTGGGAGAGTTTCATTAAGCCGTTCGGCCTTCGTGCTTTTGCTTTTGCCTTCCAGTGCATTGCAGAAGGACTCGCATCTATTGTTAATCGAGAAGTGCTTTATGGCATTGCAGCAAAGCAATATAGAAAATCCCAGGTTTCGAAAACAATATTTTGCAAACCATTTCGGAGTCGATATGATGTCTAAACATCTCCCAAAAAGGATTCGTAATGTGACCAGTTCCTCTGAATTGCCAGGCTGCGAAAGAAAACATCAAGGGAAAAATGTATCATTCTATTCCTTCTATTTCCCTCCTTCCTTCTTCTCTTCCTTCTTTAATTCCTTTGTTTATTCTTTTTCTTACTTTCCTCCATCCTCTTCTCTTTCCACTATCTTTTACTATTTCCTTCCTTCCTTCTATTCCTTTATTTTTTTTCTTCCCTGTCTATTTCCCC